CCCTTTCGGACTGCCAAAAATAACAGAGAACGGAACTATGCCCAGAGCGGGAAAAAGTTTGAGCCATGAGGCCATGAGGCCATGAGGCGGCGTTAGAAAATTGCCAAATAAATGTCGGATGGAAGGCAAACAAAAATAATATATTTATTAAAAATTGCTCCCCCCTCCCCCCAACCATGCCTGAGTGGTGGCCGGTATTATTTATTGTCCAGTCCTGATGTGTGGAAATGCCAGCCAGCGTCCGGAGGAATGCCTTTGTTCGAGGTGGAGAAAACTATGCGGTTCCCATTCCACAGTCCATTGCGGAGAGTCCAGCGACCAGAGGGGCTTCTTCGAATAGTTGCTGCGGCTTAAGTTTAATTAAAAGCACTCCCCACTGCACCCCCTCCCACTGCCCACTCGCGGGGCAAACTTTGGTGTTTGCTTTAATAATTTTAATTAAAAAGAAACTGTTCGATTTGGCGGAGAGTGGCGCTCGGCAAATAAGCACATAATAAGCAAATAAGCAGCCGGCCAAAAGCTGTCAAACGCCAAACGGACCGCAATCGAGTTGTTGGCCAAGTGGCCGATTCGCGGCTCATTGCCATGCAAGCGGCGTTCGAGAGTCCTGCGCTCTTTGGCCTGATTGGTGGCTGGTGGCTGGTGGATATCCAAATCGAAACTAATTAAAAACCGCACGCACTTCTCTCCACACGTGGGGTCCGGCCCGGACGCATGGCTAATGAAGCGTTCGCGTTGATTATAAAAAGGAAACTTTGTTGGCGACGAGGTTTAGGCCAGGGCCAGTGCTGGCCAATTAGCATTCTGCGGCTGCGGTGGGCTGCTTTGTATCCCTGGTTGCTCTGATTAGATGTTTCGTTAGTCGTATTTATTTATTAACCGTCTATAAATCAAAAATCTCTCGGGCCCGAAGAGCCAGTTGGGGCTTCCAGTGGAAGTGGGATACTCTCCTCCTCTTGTGGCCCGACACACTGGGGCTCGTTGACGCAGATGCCCACCAGGTGGGAGTCGTTGACGAAGCGAACCTGCAGCACGCGTCCACAGTCGCTGGCCCGCGACTCCATGGCCGGTGCCCCAAAGTCCCAGACGCTCATCTTGGCGTCCCGGCTGCCCACGGCGAGGCGAAAGTTGTCCCTGTCGAAGGCCATCGAGGTGATGGCAGCCGTGTGCTGGCGAAAGATACACACCACGAGCTTGGAGTTCATGTTCCGCAAGATGATTTGGCCCTCGGCGACACCCGCGACCATGTAGGAGCCGCACGTGGTGAAGGCCAGGGCAGTGATCGACTTGCTGTTGAAGTCGATGACGTCCGTGGTATAGCGGTCCCTGGCGGGGTCCCATATGCGGATCTTGCTGGAAGCCGATCCAGAGACCACGTATTTCATTTTCGGATGGAATATGCAGACCGTCAGCTCTTGCTCCTGGAACACTCTCTTCGTGCAAACGATCTTCTCTCCGTCCGCCCTCCAGATGGATGCGTAGCCAATGTCCTCGACGGTGGCATATGAAGAGGCGTACGAGATGAAGGCGATGCCTCGAATGAAGCTGGGGGTTTGCCTGCAGAAGGCCAAACAGCTGCCGGACTGTACGTTCCACATGCGCATGTCCAAGGCCGTCGAGCACGTCAGGAGTTGCGACCCGTCGGTCGAGAACGATCCGAGGTAGACGGCTCCCTGGTGACCGCTGAGGGTGGTCGTCTCGCCGTGGGTCCAGTCCGCGTTTGCGCCGCTCACATGGAGCTTCAGCCGAAGGACGTGCACCGAGCAGTCTGCCTTGGCCACGGCCAGCAGGCTGGTCTCCTCCGAGAGGCTGGCGCAGAGTGCATCCCCCCCCACATAGAGCCCGCTCGCGGCCACGAAGGTCGCCTTGAGCGACTCCTCGCCTGTCGAGCCTGTGGAGCCTGTCGAGCCTGTTGCCTGTGTTGTCTCGATTGATTTCAAATAAGAAGTTGAGCTCTTTTCTCGGTTGTTCTTCGGTTTACTTACGTTTTCTTCCTTCGGCTGTTTGAACATCTCGCTTTCCGACATCTCGTTGCTTTTCGTTGGAGTTGTGCTGAAAAATCTACTAAAATTACTGAATGTGACACGTCACGCTCCTCAATTAGACAGCTCCAGGGATGCAAGCCCTCAGCGTTGCTCTGAAGTGGATGTCGATGATTAATATCGAACTTACCCTTATCGAGAGATCCCTGGAATCGAGAGTCTCCCTCGGTGGTGACATTTTGAATGACTGCAAACCGAAAGCCGCCTCCCTCCCTGGCAAAAGTGGAGACAACAACAGCATCGAGCATAACATCAAACATTGGACAAATGTCGCGTGTTCAATTGTGCAGACGCCTCCTCGCAGGACTCCGCTCTCGTCCGCCTGCCGTCCCCAGGCGCTGATGCTGCTCTCTGCCCTCCCATCCTCGCACTGACAGTGTTTATTTTATTGATGTCCCTGCTCCCGTGGCCCGAGGCAGCGCGAGGGAGCCGCGACGAAGCCATCAACGGGACTAGCGGGGACCTAGCCTTGTTTTACGACCATCGAAGCGGCCATAATTGTGCATTCACATTCACATTCACCATTCAGAGGACCATTCAGAGGCACAGCCAAAGCCCCACTGTTGGATGGTCTCCCCCTCTCCTCAGTCCCCATTGGGGGCTGCTTGCAGCTACGTAATTTGCAAGTGATTTATGGGACTTTATGCATCAAGGCGGCGGAGGGGGCGGAGTGGGTGGAGGGGGCGGAGGAGCAGGGCCTGCCACTCTGTCGAGTACGATTTCCATTTGGCGCTCGCTCTTCCGAACACTTGATTAGCGTCGATGATTGAACGGTTATTGGTAAATTGAAAGTTGTGTTCCTTGATCCCGGGCAGGTTTCGAGGGAATCGAGGGCATCGAGGGTTTGCCGATTGCACATTTCGGGACGGGAGCACAGCTGTTTTTTAAGAGATTTTCGTGCGGAATAGAATGGTATTTTTCTGTATTTTGGATCCAGTGCGCAAGGGCGGCAGCGCCAAGCTGGTATTTTACAACACTGCCTGAACAGCTGTGAAGAAATCTCAAGTCTTACTGTTTTGCCATCAATTTTGTTTCCAGCTAGAAATGGGGTCCATGACTAGCACGCGCTGGCCCCCTGGTCAGTGTTTACCTCTGGGCTTGATATCAGTTTGATTTATTAGCCACTGCCAGGCACAGACGATGCCGCCGCCAGCGCCAAAGAATAATTTGTGTAACCCCAAAAAAGGGAAGGACAGAAACACACCCAAATGACAGCTACAAAAAATATTATAAATATAAATATATATGTATGTATTTCCAGAACCCACATATGCAATCTTGTGCAATTTCCGCACTCCAAAGGAACAACGAAGCCACCGACACGGACACGGACACGGACAACCGACCCGTATCCCTCCTCCCGCCAGCTGTCAGCGCGAACAGTTGCAAACAGACATGAAGATTATGGTACGTTGGGGGATTTTTGGGGCAGCAAACTGCCGTTACATTGTATGTAGTTGCACACAACTGCAAATATACTCGTGCACACACGCTATGGAGAGCACTTCGAGATGCTCACGTTTTTCGCTTGTTTGCTGGAAAAACAAATTTGGTAATTCTGTTTCCAGCAGACACTGGAAATTATTTTCTTTTGGTTATGAAAAGTTTCCCAGCTTCTGGCAGAACTTCTCTAGCTCTAAGAATAACTATCCATTTGCCACACACTTAAACCCATTCGAGATGCGAGCATTTGTCACTTTGTGTAAGAAATCAGCCTCGAATAACACAAATTGAATTTGCATTTGCCGAAAATCAGCTTGGGGGGGACTTTTGTTAAGCTTGCTTTTAGGCCTTGACAAATTGAATTTCAATAGTCGCCGCCGAAAGGCTTCCTTGAACCGTATCTCTAATTAGAATTGTTTTTGCTTCCCATTTCAGGTCATTCCCCGCTCGGGTCATAGCTCGAAACAACTTGATGTCTCAAAAAGTCCTTAAGCCTGTCAACTGGAGGCGCGATTTCCAGCGATTGCCAGTCCTGTTCTTATATTTGATTCTGGCGACTGTTGTTGTGGGCGACGCGTCTAGGCTGTTTGGAAAATCGCAAATTTATGTTAATTTTATCGTAAATGATGAGCACAGAGAGGAAATTAAATGAAATAAAATGTGAAGCTTCTCAAGGAAATACTCAAAATTATTTTAGGATATTTCTGTGCTCCCTGGGGCTTCTTTTTATCCACCGAGAAGAGTCCAAGTACATGCTTGGCTTTTAAATAAATCAAACGCAATGCACAGGAGGTCAGCTCTACGACCACGTAAAATCTTTTGGCAAATCACAAAAAATCCAAAGAGCTGCCATTCAAATCCACTTAACAAAAGGACCTACCACTGACCCACAGGACGAACAGAAGGCAGACAGACACAGGGACAGGGCACAAGGCGGCAGGAACATGGTAATACGATTTCCACTACATTTCTGTACATTCAACTAGCATTTTTCATGCTATTTGCAGCTGAGTTTCATCTCATTCGATTCCACATTTCATTTGATAAACGCAGGATTTGATAGATGTTCCCGGCGGGCGAATGTGACGCATCTTCCATTTTCCTATTTTCTTTTTATACCCTTTTTATGCGCCCGGAAAAGTTTGCTTGTCCGCCTGGTGTCGGTTTGTCTAAATTTCACTATCACTATCTCTCGGTGTCTGTCTGTCTGTTTATTTATTTTTCAATAAAATGCCAGCTCCGGCTCCGGCTCCAGCTCCAACTCGGCTCCCATCTTATTCCTCCGCTGCACTGTACGGGTGAACTCCTCTCCAGGAATTGAATTGAATTAAATTGAACAAAGTTTGCGAGCTGCAGCGCCCCGATAAGGTGGGGCTCGCTCTCGCCTCTCGCCCAGGGGCCAGGGGGGCACTGCATATACCCGTAAATGGTTCAATATCCACGACTTTTCCTCCATTTATTACACAAAATATTACGCTATTGGGGAGCTTGGAAGTGGCTATAAATTGCGGGGAATTAAGCGGATTATTAGGCACTTTATTAAGGTTCTCAACTGATTTTTAATTAGCAGAATACAAACATTTGAGATTCACTTTCGGTGGTTTCGGGGCTTCAAGCTATTGGTTACAAATAACATCTTAAGAGATATTCAGAAGTCTCTTCGTTTCTATTCGTCTTCCTCTGGCTCCAGCTCCGACTCCTCAGCCTCCATTTCCTCAAAGCACTGGGACAAATCTTCTTCGGACTCCGCGCTCGCCTCGCGCTTGTCCACGCAGATTGCCATCAAGTGGGAGTCGCTGACGAACTTCACCTCGAAGATGGGTCCGCACTCGCTGGCTCGCGTGCCCACTAGCATGTCCTCCGTGGCAGAGGGCCGGCCCGCGACCGTGGTCCGCACGAGGAGCTCAAAGTCCCACACGCTCATCTGGGTGTCCATGCTCCCCACCGCCAAACGGCCGTTGTTCGGGGAGAAGCCAATCGAGGTGATTGCTCCCGAATGGTGGCTCAGGCGGCGCAGCAGCACCTGACTCTTCAAGTTCCAGACAATGAGCAGACCGTCGGTGGCACCTGCGACCAAGTAGTAGCCGCAGATCGAGAAGGCCACGGCGGTGATGGTGGTTTTGTGGCCCAGAAAGGTGCGCACCGCAGTGGTGCCGATGGACATGTTCCACATGCGGACCATGCCGTCAGTAGAGCCAGTGACCAGGTAGGTTATCTTCGGGTGAAATGCGCAGGCCGTCAGGGGATGCGAGTAGTAGTTTTTGTCCACGTAACGCAACTCGTTGCTGGAGCCCGAATCGGCTATCATCCAGATGAAGGCATAGCCCAGTTCATCGATGGTGGTGAAGAAGAGGCCATGGGCCTCAAACAAAATGCGGCTGACGTGGCTGTGGGTGTTCGCATAGATCCCCGTGCATTTCCGGGAGTTCAGATTCCACTGGCGCAGCACCAGATCCGGCGCCCAGGTCACTAAGTACTGCCGGTCGTCGGAAAAGGCGCCGTGGGTGGCCGGCACTTCGTGCCCGACGAGGTTGAACCCGCCGTCAGCGATCCAGTCAGCGTCCGCTCCGTCCGAATTGAGCTTCAGCCCGAACACGTGGACCAGGTTGTCGGCCTTGCCAACGGCCATCAGGCTGACGGTCTCCGAGATTAAAACGCAGAGCACCACTCCTTCGACGTGGTGATCGCTCGCGGCCACAAAGGTCGACAATTGCTGTGCCTCCGTGGGAGTCTCGTCCGGCCTGCTGCCTCCGGACACCTCCACACGCTGGGGAGCGTAAGTGGGCTCGCTTCGATGGCTAGCACTGATGCCGCTTGCGGCCTGCATGGCGGCACAATGGAGTGAATATAGGAATTTGAGGTATTTTCTAGGTTTCATTGCATTCTACTTACTTTTTCTTTGGTCTCGGGTCTTGGGTGTATGTCGGACATCTTCCGCATTAAACAGAATTATTTGTACAATTATCAAGCTTAACACGCCACGCGTTCCTCAACTCACACTTGCAAAAGGCCGCTGCCAGGGTTGACACCCGCTCGCATCTCCCCCAGTGTGTCCACAGGGCCTATTTATAGCCCTGTTTATCGATGTTGGGACTTTTAAGACATATGTAAGTGTGCCTTAAGCACTAAACTAGAATAATTATGAATTTTCCCATTAACTGAACAGATTAGGATTCCCCTTTCCCTGTACCTGCCCCTGCCCCTGCCACCGTTTAAAGAATCTCACACCGAAATGCGGCAAATTTGTGACTTAATAAGCGACTCGGTTGCGGCGAGCCAACAAAACATGCAAGGAGCCCGTCGAGCACACAGTTTCTTTTCAGCTCGGAAATGTGTTTGCTCTTTTCGGTTGAATCTCTCTTCTGCTTCTGCTTCTGCTTCTCCTTCTCCTTCGTCCTTGTCAGTGCCAATGCCAGGAGCTTCCTGTTCCTCATTTGGCAAACACACAATTACCTGAGCGTGGTTGGGCCAGGATTTGCATTGCACTTGAATTATTTCCGTTTGCAGTGTTTTCCCTTCCTGGTGGTGCCTGCAGAGACCTGGCGGGGCAGTACCCACCGCACACATATGCATAATTTCATGCTCACTGCCGCTACGTGGCGCTCATTTGTGTAGTTTTCCTTAAACGCTGCCATACTTTCGTTTCCGTTCCCACTGTATATCACCGTCTGGGCGAGGATACGTGCACGGCGAGAATATGCAGTCCTTGGCTGAGGCGGCGCTTTGTATGCAGATTACCTGCATTTCGGGCTGGGGATTGAGGTCTCTAATGAGACTTGAGGCACAGTCGTGGGCCCGCCTCCCCCCAAGAAGGGCGCAGAAAAAACCGCATAAAGCATAGGAAGTCGTGCGATATGGGGCTCGGATCCGGATCGGGGCCTTGCCTCGGGCTGCCCCAAACATACACATCATGCGTATGGCGGATGCTAAGTTTATACGCAATGAAGAGTGAAAAGCAATAAGCTCTGTTAAGTTGTGCATAAAAGGGAAATGGCCCAGGACTCCCCTGAATAGGGGTCGCAGGGGGCATTGGAGCACAATATGTTTATTGAATTGTCGCCAGCAGATATCCGGCAAGCAGAAGGGAAAACGAGAAACTTTTGCAATAGCTATCGTGTTGAAAAAGGGAACTGGAGACTGGTCAACTTTTGATTATGGAAACATCGAAGGAAAGTACCCTCTAAAAATGGGAGGAGAGGTAAGATAATACAGCAGAATATTTATTATTTGTTTTTTTGACATTATTTCAGTATTTATGTATATCGAATACAGACTTCAAAAGCACAGTATCGTACATCGGCATCCATTTTAATTACTTTGGGGTGTGTGTACACTGGTTATCCAGTGCATCTCTGATCAAAATCAGAAGGAACACGTATTCGTTTTATGAAAAATACATTGTCACTACGAATCATGGAACATCTCTGCGAAAAAGATATGATCACCTGCCCGTACAACCGGGAGCATGTGATGCTGCGCAAAAAGTATCAGCAGCACATTTTGAAATGTCGTGAGATCTACAAAGACAAGGTGGAGCTTCTTGAGTGTCCCTTCAACAAGGGGCACCTGGTACCAAAATTGGAGTTCCACCAACATTTCAAATCCTGTGATGATCGCAAAATAATTGTGCAACATCTAAACAGCGAGGAACCGGATGTGCGCCCCGACACAAGACATGAGAAAATTGAAGCCGACGAGAACTGGGACGATGATCGGGTGGAGGACTACAATCCGCAGGTGTATTGTGCTCAGGCAAATATCATACGCGAACCGCGCGGCCTGTTCCCGGCCCAGCGCAAGGCATTCGTCAAGGAGGAGGAACGTCGTCGTCGCGGCGATGCTGAACAGCCGGGCACGTCCAATTCCCCGGCTGAAAATCGTCCAACGCCGCACCACCACAAGGAGCGGCTGCATTCGAAACGCTCTTCGAAATAAATGAAGTATTTTTTTGTATACTCAACACCAACACCATGTGCATATTTTATTTAAAAATTAAATATACTCGTACATATATTTTACTGTTTAACGTTCGTCGGTGGTTGAAGGCAGTCCATTTTAGATCGGCGGCGGATCGGAGATGGACAGCACCGTCGCGGGGCTAATATGCATCTTAAAAGGTGGAGCAACCCATCATCAAATTTCGCTTCTGCCTTCCCAAAGTCCTAATGGGTCCTAGTGGGAGACTTTGCCCAAGGTATCAAAGGTCGCAAAGCCGAAGACGTCGTGTACTTCTTAATCAAATAGATATTGCGATACAGGCTGAGGCTGGTGACTTTAAACCGAAGTACCTAGGATAAAAACGAGGACCCAGCTTTTTTAGTAATTCTTAGAATCCACCATCCCTAATGGGACTAACATTTCTGTTGTCTCATCCATTTTTCCAGTCTCAAGTGCCGGCATTCCCATTCCTGGACTCTTTCTGATTGCAACCCATAGAAATAACGAGGTGTGCACGTGCACCCATCCGCCGACCATTCCACTCGTCCATTCATTCATTCATTCATTCATACAGAGATAGAGATGCACTTTTTACGGCCCTCTCACCCGGGGCTATGCTGTCTCCGTGGCCGTGTCCGTTTATGCAAGTGTTAAATAAAGTATCTCCAGGCCATTGTAGTTTATGCCTAGCCTAGTCAGAGTCGCTGACATTTATTGCTTGTTTTAGGGCGGACCAGGAAGGGCCCAGAAACACCATTTGTTACGGGCTGGGACACATAAAACAAGAGCACAAACAGTTTATAGTTGTTAGCCATATAAATGGCGGGGTGGTAATATCTCTGCTTGTCAGCAAAGGTGGCTGGCAAGATACTGGAGCGTAGAATCGCCGGCAGCTGGCAGTGGCATCATAGCGATGCTCTTATCCAATACAGAATCCGGGGGACAGTTGAAAGTTCAAAATAAAGTATCTGCAAAACAGCTGAGCAAAAAGTAGTGCTGGAAAGCGAGTCGAAGGAAGCTGTGCTGGAAAACGATTCAAGGGAAGCTATGTTGGAAATCAGGCCTCTTTCATTTCATGTGCGACGTTGTAAGTCGTTCTGGGAAAATAAAAATCACATTTTCAATAATCTGAACGTAAGAAATTATCGTATTCCCCGTAAAAGTGTTTCTAAGCTCTTTGCCGTCTTGCAGGTAATGGCACCCCGCCGAAGTCCACGTATTTTGGCGGCCAACCAGGCGTCCCCTGCCGCCCAGCCCTTGGCCCGACGCGCTGCGTTCCTCCGCGCAGTGGAGGCCATATCCGCTCCCAGGCGCCGCAGGACCACCACCACTGCCAGCCGGCGCCGTGCAATCCAGATCGCTGCCAACGAGCCGCCCGCTGAGGACCCTCCCGTTGTCAACCGCCGCGAGATTAACCGCGTCCGCGTCAACGCCGTAGTGTATTTGGATGGTGTCTGGCACCCCACAACCCGTGAGAACTTCGAGTACTTCGAGATGTTATTCCAACAGCGTGCCGATCTTGAAATGGCGGAGGCTATGACCGCTGGCCGTGGACCTGCGGCGCCAGAAAATGTAATGGACACTGAATTAGGCGTACGCCGCCTCCGCAGGGAGATGGCGAACATGACGAGCAATCCGACGGAGGGGTGCACAGTGGAGTTAGTTGACGACTGTATCTACGACTGGAAGGCCGTTATTCTCGGGCCCTTGGACACGCCCTACGAGGGCGGCCACTTTGAACTGCGCCTTCACTTTCCGCACGCGTACCCGTCTCTACCACCGGCTATACTGTTCCGTACAAGGGTGTACCACTGCAATATTTACCAGCAAGATATCTGCGTGGATATTCTGCACTCGGCTTGGTCGCCCGCCCTGACCGTGGAGAAGATACTTTTGTCCATCCGGTCTCTGCTGTCGGACCCCAACCCCGATAGCCCCCTGAACTGCGCCGCTGCCGCGCTGTACAAGACGAACCGCGAGGAGCACGACCGCATGGCACAGGAGTGGACCGCCCGCTACGCCCAGCCAGTGGACTCAACGTCTGAATAATCCCAAACATCTCATCCACGGCTACACAGCGTTTTCTAAATTCTTTGAGAATCTTTGTTGGTATCTGTCACTAAACACACATGAACATGGGCTACATGGTAACATATACATACAATTATTTTTTGACTGAAATAAAGGCCTAGGCCATGATCACTGAGAATCTAATTGTGTCAATCGCTGCTGGCGGACCCCAATCCCAAGGCTATTGAGTAGCCGCCCGTCCCGGCCTGCTAGTTCCATTTAGAATATGGATACATATGTATGTACATGGAACGTAGTGGAACACATGTAACCGCAGAGACATATCCAATAGAAACACACACAAACACGTGTATGGCTGATCCGACTAATTCCCCATTGAGCGTTCGTCCAGCAGCAACTACCATCATTATTTTCCACTTTTTGTTGCTATTGAAATGTTGATTTAAAACTTTATTTTTCAAGCAAGATGTGTTTCAGTACAGCCAGCCACGATTTGAATTTGTGCTATGTGCCCTCCCTCCGTATCGCATCGTTCCCTTTTCAGGCGCAAAACTTTTGCAAATAAAGCAGTTTATTGTGCCAGTGGGATTTATAATCCACACAAGAGTTATAAGTGCTCCCACACACCTTGCCCGATGCCCGATGCCCGACGCCCTATCCCCGCTTGCAATCCCAGAGAAATCACTTAAAAAAGAACGAGAGAAGAAATAAAGAGTTCCGGAGACCTCTGGTCCTGTCCTCGTCCTCGTCCTCGTCCATGGGCCAAGGCGCAGCATTTCAAATTAAAAGCATTCGCCGCGTTTTATTGCTGTGCCTGCAATTTTTCTCCTTTTATTCTGGCCCTGCCGCCCTCCTCTTGTTGGACATACAAATTTTTATGTCCATTTGGCTTTATTTCACACTTTCTTGTTTATTATTGCTGGGGCTCCGACTCAAAGCACACAGAACGAGAAAAATGTAAGTATTTGACCTTTTTCCCTTGCTTCCGTCGTGCCCCGTGCTCCGAGCATCGTGTCCGTGTCCTCCTCCATCCTCAAATAATGTTGTTGCCATTGATTTATGCAAAGAAAGATTCACTCCAGGCCAGACCCTGTCCCTTATTCGCCTTAAATGCTAACTTAATTGTTCTGCCCGTGTCCAAAAAAGGGCTTTTCCCTGAAAGTGTCTTAGAAAAAATCTCTGTATTCCCCTGGAGCAGTTAATTTGGCGCAAAATGATTAGCGACTCGAATTTGGGGAAAAAGCCATTTGCCATGGGCCTCCCAATGTTCACGGAAGTATAACTTTGAAGAGTCTGCTAAAATTGAGTGCAAATTGGGAGCAAATAGAACCAAAGGCAATTAGAAACACATTTTTGCGTTTTAAACAAACAAACGAAGCTAAAATCAACTGAAATTCCGAGCATCCAGGCTGTACTTCTTGTGTAGCTCCATGCAGTCCACTTTGCGGACAATCCTATGGGCCGCAGGCCCGACGTGGTGCAGCACCACCATTCCCCCCGTGGAGGCGTCACAGAGGGTTGCCTGGCAGAGCGACTGGAGGGCCAGATCGAAGGCCTCCTCGTCAGTCAGGTCGAAGCGGTACATCGGGTCGAGGATGCCCAGTGCGTTGCTCGCTCCGCTGCCCACGGAAAATCTCTTCCCACTGATGTTCACCCCGTCAGAGTCCACGTAGACCAGGGACGGACCCTTTGGAGAATAGCCAGCCAGCAGCATGCCCATGTTCAGGCCCGTTCCGCGGTGCATCTCCGACACGTGGCAGATCATCTTGGCGGCAGCGTCAACGGACATTGGCCTCTTGTAGCGCAGCTCATGCAGGCGGCTCTCGCGGGCCAGGACCCGATACCAGTACGTGCAGTCGGCCGACCCGCCAGCCAGAGTCCCCACAATCTGACTGCTGACCGGCACGATCTTGTCCATTGTCTGGGTGGTCACGTTTATGCCACTCGATGACCGCGAGTCCGCGCAGAGGACAATCCCGCCCTGGTACACAAACCCCAGGGCGGTGGTTCCGTGATCAATCTTCAAACTTGCATTCGTCAAGTCTGGTGTGCCAGGGACTGGAGCCATCAGTCGGTACGGGTTGTTGAAGTTGCTGGTGATCTCTTGGAAGTCATGCTCGCTTATCTGCCTCATGGAATTTGACCAGTTTGTAGTTTTCAGAAAGGCTTTGAGGCCGCATAGCTCCTCCAATGACATTTCTCGACCGTGCAAAAAATATATGTTCTCGGATTTTATGGGTATGTATTTTCTGTTGGATACAAAAATGTTGATAAAATGAAAAGGTGTGACTTTCTCGTAAAAGATACTTACTTATGTGAAACAATGTGTTTGGGATACATACATCGGTTTTGATACATTTTGAGACACTAAAATAGTTTCCATTAAAGCCTTCCTTGGATCTGCGTCAAAGAAACACTTAAGGAGAATATAAAGTGCTGCTTGGAATTTCATGAAGTATTTTTAAGTAATTCTAATCGCAAGTATTACAAATGTACTGCTCCAAGGAGAAAACTCAGCTGCAATATGTTGTACATATTTTCACATTCACCTGAGCGGAATCTAATAAAATATATGCAAGCAATTTTGTATTTACAATACTCGTTTACTCGTGTTAAATTCCAGCTTACTTCTTCGTTTTATGCATATAAATTTTCATTTTTAGTCTGCATTTTTTGGCATGCCATGGGACTTATGGGACTCCAAAACAGGGCCAAGAAGCCGGAGCACCGAAAATTGAATATCAAATAACCCCGAGCAATAAACAGAATTACAATGTGTAATGTGGGATGTGGGATGGGGGATGAGGGGGGAATTACAATGTGTAAATTGTTTATGATATTAATATCCGTTTGTTTGTGCAATCATTTAAAAAGGATTACGCGATTAGCATCCGACTGCGGTAATTGATAAGCGTTTATGGAAAGGCGGAAATTATCATCTGTATTAATTTCGTTCCTTCGAAACAGTAGTGGCTGTCGCACCGCAAAAGATAGCCCCATTTGGGGGTAAAGTGCGAAAATCAAAGCCACAGATGGGCGAAGACCCTTCAACTCCAAGTGTCCCGGGCCTTCGTTTATGGGCCAATATGTTGAGGTAATCAATTTTAATGTTCCCTGGTCCCAAGCTTCTATATACACCATTTCTATGGCACCATTGAAATGTGTGCGGCCTGTCAAAGGTTAAAGCGTTTTGTTGTATTGCCAAATTTGCTTTTGACCAGCGCTGAAGGCGTTCCGAAGGGGGAACCACATTGTCAATCAGCAAATTCCTTCCCCTCTCGCTCGCTCTCTCTCTCTCTCTCTCTACCTCTCGGGGCTATTTGGCAATGTCGGAATGGCAAACACTTGGACAGCACGTCGCCTGTTTGGTCTTTGCGTTTGGGTTTGGGTTTACCAGCAGGACAGCAGGACTTCACCACCACCTTGCTCCGCAATATGGCCAAAATTTATGCATTGCAGTTGACTTATTAGGGTCTGGCTACCGCCCCGTCCCTGTACCTCTTCCTGTCCCTGTCCCTGTACATATATGTATGTATCTCCCTCCCCGGAGGGAGCTCTTCTATTTGTGCTGTTGATTCGCTTTGATTTGGCCGGGATGCCCCAGAGCTGGCATAACTGTGCGTCAGAGTTGCGCTTTGCATTCGGCTTGGGTTCCCCCTGGGCAATGTGTTCTCCTTAATAGTTGCTAATTATGTTTAATTATTCATTTGTGATTTTGTAGGGGCCAGATTTGCCCTCAAAGCACGCATCTTCCTATAGTGTGGAGCATTAACAAGACATCTGGAAGGATTCCGACAGCATACGGTCTGAATTCCTTTCTGTAATTACAATATTATTTAACCCAGCCATAGACAGTGTCTCATTTCTGTTCGGTACCTCCAAAAAGTCATCCATATATTGACCGGTCTCACAGCTTCACAGTCGTCTTGATTCCTCGGCTAGGAGGCACTGATTAGCTGCCAACCTGAGAAAATAATTATAAATTAGTTTGGGAATACCTAGATATGAAGAAAACTCACCATCTTACTGAATATTCTCAGACAAACAAAGGCAAACGTTAAGCATTACATTTTCCTGTTACTGAATATATGTTTCCAGCTAAAGATAACACTAAGCAGCGGAGATGAGGCAGCATTGCTACTCAAGAAAGCCGCAGAGTATGCGGCAACAATTCATCCTTGAAGTGGGGCTTTTAATCAAGACCAACGCACATACCACCATGAGCACAAAGACGTATGTACATGCCTGCATCCACACCTCGTCGCTGCTCCACCGAGATAGAGACAACACAATCACATGCGTGGCTGCAATTTCCGCAGCATATTTACAGGCAGCAATGTCGCCAAGGCTCCTCCGGTGATATACGGGCGTAGCATACGGGCATAGTAGCATAGTAGCGATTCGCAGGCTGTAAATTTTGACTTTCAATGCTGTGCAGAAGGGAATTTGACATTTACTAATTGCCAGATTATGCCAGAGACGCAAGCGAATCGAATCTCCTAGAGCGGAGGGATTAAATGAATGTAATCAAAGCCCCCGAGGACTAGAACTTTATTTGAGGCAGAGAATCCCCCCTGTACTAGGTTCAGGTATGTTCATTACAGGCACATTCAAACGAAATGGGTTAAGCTGTACTTGGCTCTGAGGGGGAGCTCGACTAACTTCGATTTCCGTGCAGATAAAGATTGCATTGCCGAGGCTGTCATCGACGGGATTAATTAATCAACGTTATGTCTGTCAATCGAGGTCTGTTCTAGCCATCTCGTGTCTTTCCCGTTCCAGTCCCATTCCTGTCGTTCGATGGCATTTGCTTTCCTGCCTTGGAGAATATCACTTTCGCAAATTGAAGTTGCTTTTTTCTCTCATTCTCAGACACACACACTGGCACAGTGGCTCACTGGCTCACTGGCTCACGTGGCTTCTGCTGCTGTTGTTTCTGTTGCAGTTGGATGTGGCATGCTTCATGGCAACTCATGCATATTCATTGTTTACAAGCACACTGCCACACGACCAGACAACAATCTCTCAAAAACTGCACCTGATTTCTTTCACATTCCCCTTCTCTTTCTCTTTCTCTTTCCCTGCCTCAATTAGACCCGGCTTTTCCTACTTTTGTTTGCTATCCCTATACCTATACCCATACCGATTCGCATATATCTTTGGTCCGGTCCCAGGCTGCTATGAATCTTTGAAATGCAATGACCATTAGGAGTCCATTCTATTGTATCACTCGTCATACGCTTGCCATTTATGTAATTTGTGGCCATTAACCAACAGGCATTTTGTGGGTGAAGTGCAACCGAAGGACGGAAGCCAAAATTGGTATCAAAATACTCAGGCACCACTTGTAATGACAGGTTGCAAGAAAGGAGGATTTGCTTGAGGTGGAATTCCCCATAAATATCAAGAAAATAAGTACTTCCCAGCTGTGGATTCAAGCTATCCTTAAGCTGTCCTTGGGCCCCATCGCAATTCCTATTTTAAATGTTTATCTGCTGTTTGACGGCACATACCCGAAAGTATCTGTTGGATTACCCGCTTTTATTGCCAATTACCAGATGGAGAGACATTTGCATATCCAGATGAGAACTTCGGATCCGAACACAACCTGTAACCCAATTTCTGCTTCTGTTTCTGTTTTCAATTTATTATTTTATTTATTTGCCTGGACAACCATAAATTCCTTGTCGCAGAGCGAATAACAATCATAATCTTCGATATAATTTCCACTTTATGGCTGTCTTGCGGTAGGAAGATAAAAATTCACACATTGATATGTTTTTATGGATGCAAAAGATACAAGTAATACAAGTAAACACATAAACAATAGGCAGCAACATCAAAGAGCAATTCCAATGTAAAATTCTTAAGACACCAGGACACATGCTGGCCATTTCCAACTCCTGTCTCCCCATACGACTGTGCATTGAGTTCTTCAATAGACAAAGGAAGAACGAATACGTATCACATAATTTGACAAAATCCATAAACCATAAATTCTTGGCAAAGCCAGCACTAAAAGAGCCTGCTCCTCCCAGAGATTGTCGCCGCCCGAAGGAAAACTGTCTCGTAATCGTCGGCAATAAAAAGAAGCCCAGAAGCAGCAGGCCCATAAAATAATATCGGAATCAGTACGTCTCATCCAAGTAGTTGGAAGGAAACATTGGCGTGGCCGTCTGTCCACATAAAAATCACATAAACCCATAAATCGTCATCAGGCCGCAACAATCACGACTATTAGGTTAAATCAACCCAAAGACACAAACCGAAATCAACATGAAATATATTTAGTGCTCACTTTCAGGCATTTATCATGCCATGTTCCACTGTATTAGACGCCCAATTAGAGTGATTATGCCCCGAATTGTGAATCCAGAGCTTAAATGAGCCGCCGTTTCCCGATTCACAGCACAAAAATGTCGCACAGAATAACGCATTAAATCAGGGCACAAAATTACACAAATATTTGTAAACTGTTGGCCACAAAGCAGCACAGCAGAACAGCAGCATATCTGCATGGCTAAAATAGTTGCGAATTCTTCTTTGTCGGTTGGCTGTGTACATTTTTTGAATATGGAGCACGTAGAGCACACGTGGCAAATGCTCATGCGTTTCGGGGAATCCCCTGAGAATGTTCTGGATAACAAATCCGACTCATTTTGGGCCACAAAAATGTAATAAAATTAACAAACTTAAAGCTACTAAAACATTCTTAAATTCGGAACTTGGTTTAAAGACATTCCCGTACGATTTTGTTCCTCGCTCCAAAAACTTGGTTTCTTTTTTGCCTGTCAAGTGCTAAAAAGAGAGGGAGGAGGTAGAAAAGAATGAGAGAGGCAATGCTGCACAATTTAATTATACAGTTAATTTGCTTAAATGGTTGACGGCTGGCACAGCAATTCAAGTGTTGACAGTGGGAATTGCCGGAGGAAAAAAGAGGAATATTCCATCACATCACAGTTTGCGGCGGGATGGGGAAGCCTCCCATCCCATCCCACATTTTTCGACCAAAAAACTTTGTTTGATTCCAAACAAGAATGAAGGAAACGAAGTGGAGGACGATGGCGCTTTCTGCATCAAACACATGCAGACAGGTTAAGCGCTTTGCCTCTGGCTCTGGCTCTGCCTCTGGCTCATTCTCATACACCTCCAACATGCACCGGTTATTAAATTTGGGCCCTTTGTAAGTTCTCCCTTTTCGCTCTCTCTCTCT